GGGAACAGATTTTCACGGGGGAGCAGAATTTCGCACAAGACCGGTTCTTACCCCACTCCAGGAAGTCTGTGACGTGCTTCTCCCTCTTCAGCGGGGAGTTGGTGCACTCGGTGTAGAAGCAGAGCAGCAGGTCGAGCAGCGCCTCCACGCTCAGACATCCAGCCTCCCTCTGCTCCAGCAGCAGCTCCTCCAGCCGCCTCAGCCGCTCCTGCGCCGACATCCTGCCCCGGGACACGCGACCCGGACTCCCGCAGCTCCCACCACCGGCCCGGACCGACAGCCGCCGAGGCTCCGCTTCCTGCCCAGTCCGCTACGAGCAGCTAGCTAGCGCGTTAGCTCCGCGAAAACATTCCCGACATTTTGAGCCGCCGGGATGTCGGTGAGTCTGGGCGTCTCCGCTGGTTACCGTCGCTGCGAACAGCCTGAAGGCCCGTGTCTTTCCGCGCTCCGCATCGGCTTTAATCCGCTCAATCTGGACTTTCCTCTCAGAAATCGGGACGTCGGGAGGAGCGTCGACTCAGGCTGACCGCCGCGGCTTCATGTCGGCAGCTCGGTGTATCAGTCCGGGGACGGGTCCAAGGAGCTCCGAAACCGGCTCGGTCGGACCCAAAATGTCTGTCAGAACCGGGAGGCAGCGCTCCGATGGACTACAGGCGGTTTTTGGACTGTTTGAAGCGCCTGCCGGTGCGGTTGAGCAGTGGGAATATGGCTGAATCCAGGTCGGATCAGCGAAAAGAAGACAAACGCATCACGTTCTGCTTCCGGTCAGAGGGCCTTCACAATAAAAGACCAGTCGTGTTTACCGGCCGCAGCCCCCCCGCCCCCACCCCATGTGCTCGAAATGTAGCGCCAATAAACAGAAATATTATTTAACTAAAATATTTAATACTCACAGACACTTTTGATCTTAATGACTATTTCAAAATAAAAACAAGTAATGAGACTCCAGACATTTTCATTAAATTTCAGTAATAATGTTCAGACACACGTATTTTAAATTAAAAATAATAATAATAATAATACAATAGCTCCTGTTTTTCTGCATGGGTTTTGTTAGGAATTTTTACATTTTCCCCAACAGATTTGCTCGAGTTCCTTTTTATAGGATAAAAATATGCCTGTCTTGAGTTTTCTATGGGGCAGCACGGTGGCGCAACTGGTAGAGCTGCTGCCTCTCAGCGAGCAGGTCCCTGGTTCAAACCCCGGTCCAGGGGCCTTCTGGGTGGAGTTTGCATGTTCTCTCCGTGCATGCGTGGGTTTTCTCCGGGTGCTCCGGTTTCCTCCCACAGACCAAAAACATGCATGTTAGGCCAATTGGTAACTCTAAATTGTCCCTAGATGTGAGTGAGAAAGTGAATGGTTGTCTGTCTCGTTTGTCTCTATGTGGCCCTGTGATGGACTTGCGACCCGTCCAGGGTGTACCCCGCCCCTCGCACAGTGATTGCTGGACATGGGCACCGGCGACCCCCGTGACCCAAAATGGAATAAACGGGTAAAGAAAATGGATGGATGGATGGATGGAGTTTTCTATGTTTGTAGAGACTTGGAGACAGGAGCAAGAACTGGAAGTGGCAGAAATGAAGATGTTGAGGTTCTCCTTAGGAGAGACAAGGATGGAGAAGAATGAGATCATCAGAGGTACAGGTTGAACAACTGGGAGATAAAGTTAGAGAGGACACACTGAGATGGTTTGGACATGTCTTTTATAATTGTCCATTGTTGTCTTCATTCTTTGTTGAAATCAGGTCTCTCTTGAAAATGAGTCGTCGAGGCTCAATGGGATTAACCTGTAGAAATAAAGGTTGCATGAATGTCCAGAGGAGGGACAGTGGGTATATTGGTAGAAGGATATTAGAAAGGCAGCTGCCTGGAAAAGAGACAAAGAGGAAGATCGAAACAGTTTAAAAAAAATAATAATAAAAGAAAATAAAAAACAGGACATATGAACATTTTTAGTTTTTTATTTTGAAGGGATGAGTCCAGAACCCGGAAACCAGACACTGTTGTTGACCGTGAACTGACGCATTTGTGCCTTTCTCCCGTAGGAACACGCATGCCCCGCCCTCCTGCACCGGAAACGCTCCAGATACATGACGTCATTATATGACTGACAGGCGCTAGGAGTGACTGGTACACTCCCCCCGCCGCCGTGACGTCAAGTGATTTTATCTCAATAATAAGTTGGAACAAAAGCATTTTTTCCAGCCTTGAAAACAAGAACTATGACGTCACAGTCGAAGTACTGATCAGATTTTAATTTAAAAAGTGGTAATATATTAATATGTGTGAATGTATTTTAGAATACTTACTTTTTTTATTTTATTACAAAATAAAATACTCGTAAAATCTAGTAAGATTTATTTAAATTGTTTTTTTTTAGCTAAATTATTTTTATATTTTGTACAGTTTTTATATTTATAAAATTATACATTTATTTGGAATTATCATTTAAATTAAGAAAATTGGCAATTTTTCGTCAAGTTGCCTCCTGATTTGATCAATTTAATTTAAATTTAATGACTAACATTAGTCTAAATTTCAAACAACACTAATTTATATCGAGAACATTTAGAACTATTTTATAGCAGATTCAAAGGAAAACTACAAAAACAGAAAATAAAAGCTGATCATTTAACCATGCTTTGTATATAACACTATATAACAAATTAAATAAGATCAGTTTGTAATTTATGATTCTGTATTTATCATCTGTTTCGTATTATATATAAAGTTCAAAGAGCAATAACTCTGTTTTAACACTAAATATATTAAAAACTGTGAACTTAATGTTTTCACAGTCATAGTTTGTATATAAAACCTATTTATTCTGTTTACAAAAGTCCTTATGAGTTTATTTATTTATTTTTTACTTTAATGACTCCTGAACAGAAAAATGCTGCTAAAACGTGACTGATGTTTTTTTAACAACAAATGTTCATAAAATTCTGTTCCGTTCTATTGTTCTATTTGGAGTTTAATTCCATTCATGTTAGCTTCAGTTCGAAATAAAACCCAACGCAGAGTTCTGTAAAGACCAAAGCAGTCGAGTCCAGTCACAACTGAACAGAACCTCACAGAACAGAACCTCACAGAATAGAACCTCACAGAACAGAACCTCACAGAACAGAACCTCACAGAACAGAACTTCACAGAACAGAACCTCACAGAACAGAACAACTGAGTCTCTTCAGTTTTCTATTTGATGGACAGTTTTTAAAACGAGTTTTATTTACCCTTAGCGACCACTAGAGGGCGCCAGAAGACCAGGCAACTCAGACTGGTCACATGTTTAGCAAATGATTAAGTAAATAAACAACCATGTTGTCTAAATAATACAACTGTTTTTATTGTATGCATGTTTAAAAAGCATTACTTTTCTTCAGCTACACAATAGTTATTTCTAACAGCAGACAGACGTCTGTAAATTATGAAAACTTCCTGCAATGTTTGACACGAAACATCAACAATTCAACCGTTAACTCCTGTTATTTTACATTTAATGTGTTTGATTGACACCTGCAGCTGAGCCAACAGGTGAGTAAGAGTTCAGCTATTTATCTACTGCATCCAACCATCATCCAACCACCATCCAACCATCATCCAACAATCTATTTCAGCCATTCATCCATCCATTTATCTATCTACAAAGTATCATCCATCCATCCAGAATGGACTGAATGGTCGACAGAAGTGTCTCCATTCTCGTAACGGTTGTTCGCTTCACTGACGGGGCAAAGATTCATCGTTGGGATTTATAAACTTAATGTCAGGGTTCAACTTTTAACCTTGAGATTCAATTTCCGTTCATGCCGCTTTTTTATTTCTTTTTTATTGAAGTTAAGTTTTGCATTATCCTTCCAGCTTTATGTTTGTGCCTATATCTTAGGTACGCTCCAATATTTCTGTGATTGAGTGAGAACATTGTCGTTAAAATTAACTTTAAGTACTCTGGAATAAAACAAGGAAACAACTGAGAAATAAAATAATTTAAAAAAGGAAATTTAAGTGCTTGGATAGAAAACAAAAGGACTTCTTACTTTAATTAATTTAGAGCTAATTATTTCAGCTCTAACTGGTGGAAAACAAACTTCCATACCAACTTGACTGCTTAGTAATGGTGCGTTTACTGATGACAACAAAAAGAAGATTTGCGACTTGTGGATAGTTATTATGTGTTTACTGATTGGCAATGAAAGCAGAAATGTTTTACTAATGAGGAAACAAACTAACAAGACAAGCCTGTCCCTCTTTGATTTCCACTGAAGACTTGGGTAAGATGTTCTGCTGCATTCCATTTGTTCCCAGAAGCTGGAACCCAGTTCAGGCAACGACACCACCCTCAAATTAACCACATTCCAACTGCAAGTCAGAAAACCAGCAGCTCACGCGCTGCACTCACGAATCCATCTGATGGCAACACATTAGACTCCATTTTATGCAACACTGCAGAAACGTTTCACTGACGGAGCTTCAGCTGGACTGTGTCTGAAACGGACCCAATGATCAAGTGGAAATAAGTTTAGTAGCTATCAACCCTTTTATTCCTGAATCTGTCATGCTGGATTTTAGGGTTGGGTTTTGTGAGAAACCGTCCACTTTCCAAGATGCAATTCCAACTTTGTGGGGCTCTCTCTTTGACTTGTTCGACTCGGGAATTCAAACTTCTGAACAGAACGCACCAGTAACGCTTCATGTCTATCGTAGGACAACACTATTCTGTTTGACTTTAACTAGAGTCTCCAAACATTTTTATTTGTCGGTGTTTTAATGTAGTCTGACCTAGTTCTTGTTTTCAAACTGAGGAGTGGGTTCAAATCCCACTTCCGACACCATGTTGTAATTTATGATGTTCAATTCTTTGAACGATTAGCAGGTAAAGAACTGATCCTGTTCAACTATCATCTTCTAAACTCATCACATTCAAACACTTTGGACACATTACATACTGAACAAATATATATCTAATAATCTCTCACAGTACTACCGGCTGTTTGCAACCAAAATATTCAGTTTCCCCAGTTTTATCAATTCATTCCACAATTTGAGATCAATTAGAAAATGAATGCTCATAGACGTGTTGAATGTTTTACAATCTATTGTTCATTATCTGACACAGTTTGAAGTTTGAGGAAACAAACGCGGACCATTGCAGGGTCTCTGTTCTGCAGTTCTAATGTGCCAACGGTTTAAGTGGGTTGTGTAAATTTGGCAACACAGATTAAATTGATTGGGCTAAATGCTGTCTAATTTTAGTTTGAATAATTTTGATGATTCTAGGCCTAGACTACATGAATTTAGTTTGTTTTTTTCCCACATGTATAGAATCATGTATGTAAAAACATGTATTCACATGAGCATGGTGAAAATGTTCCCCAAACCTTTTTTGGATTTTTTTTGCATTTTCACAGGAAATGAAACTTCTTCTTCAAGTCGCACGAAGACTTGGTGATTATTTTTACGCCGGATGTCCTTCCTGACTCGACCACAGACACCGAGCTACCACAGCCTCTGTGCGGAGCAGAGCTGCATCCAGGGCGCCCGGGGGAGCAGATGGTGGGGGTTAAAGGCCTTGCTCAAGGGCCCGTGCTTCACCTATACCTCCCACATTTTGATGTTGTCGGTACCGGGAGCTGAACCGGCGATCTTCCGATCACAGGCCCACCTTCTCCAACCTCTGCGCCACCACTCCCCACGGTTTATTTTATATCCGCTAGCCCCCAA